ACTAAGTGTTTGCTTGTTGAGATGTTTAGATCAAGCTTGAACATTTTGAACTTTGATGCGTGTGATTAATATGTTATGTGACTCTATGCGAGGTAGCCGGCCTTGTGCCTGTTACATATTGCTCTAACTTTGTGTTTGAGTGCAGGTACGGTAAGGTAAGGAGATGATGACCCCTATCACCCAGAGTCTTATAAACCGATTTTGGGCCAAGGTGGAGATTGCTGGTATTTGTGGCTCAAATGAGATGAATTTCGATGGCCCACATATTTAACACTCTCAGGCCTAATATTCATTGGCCTGAGTTCAGTTTCTGGCATCCCACTTGATCTACATGATCTTGGCCATTCGTAGTTGAGCGTCCCAAGCGTGACCATTCATTGCTTTTCCTTAAAACCTTATCAGGTGTCCATTTAGAAAATTCAACGGATACACTTTGTTGCACTCTCGACTGTTGCTCTCGCTCAACTCTCTTTACGACTTAGTGTCTATTGATTCAATCCTCTCTCTTATTGTATCTTTGTGATAATGAGATTGTGAAGGAATCTTCATCGTGTTTGTCGAGTCAGTTGGTGAGAAGGGTTTTCTTAGGGGTTTCGTGTATGGGCTGTTTTCGGGACAAACTTTGTGCAACGGCTGGTGGAGTTACCGCTGGACTTGTAGCCGGAGTTATTGAGATCTAAGGTCCATCGATCGGTTCTTTGGTGACTCACTTTTAAGAGATTGACAAAAGGGGACTGAGCTTGGTATATTCGTCTCATTCTCGTGGCATTCGTAGCATTCGAGACCTCGTACGAGAACTCAGCGAAAGGGTGTATTCGTTCTTATTTTTTCTTTATTTGTTTCCAGAATTTTCAATTTATCTATGTTCTTTGATTGCTAAAATTTGTCTATTTATTGGAAATTTTCGATTTCAACTTGAAGTGGAGATACCGGGACAATGTTGGGACAAATTGGGTGCTGTCCGGGCTCTATCTGGCACTTTCGGGACCCACCAGCAGCTGTTCGGGACCAATCGGGGCCATCCCGAGCCCGACGAGAGAAGCCGTACGACCACTCAACAATTACATAGTAAAAGCAACTCCAAAACAATGGTGGATTAGGTGCTTTATGCTAGAAGAGAGGAAAAATTTGTTCAATGAAATGCAAGAGTTCAACACCAGAAAAGAGTTACAAACTGTTTATTGTTAGGTCGGGTAATAAGAGCAATATTTTATGGGATTCTTTTATATTTTGGGTGGTCATTTTCCTTATTTTTTTTGTTTTACCTTTTTGTTTTTTCTTAAATTTACCTGGATGTATCATTTTGACAAAATGTGTACTAAGAAATGAAAATAAATTTGTATCTGTATGGTTGTATATGAATCATCTCTCTGCATAATATATTATTATTAAAACATGATAAATTGTATTGAACTGTTGGAAATAACATGCAGATCTCGTTAGTATTAAATTTTTGTTAAAAAATAAGTAACATGCACATTTCATTGAAATTAAAATTATGATTTCCCTATGATTTTTTACAAAGCCTACTTGATTAATGTTTTAGTAAATAAAATAATATTTATATAACTATTACTGTACTTAGATGGATTTCTATTCATCATATAATTAGAATTTAAATAATAACATATGTATAAAATATTAATAACACAAATGGTTGAAAGGGAAACTTGACTTTTTACTTATAAAAGTTGAAGCTGATCTTAAAGCGACACAAGAATGACAACAAGTTGAAGCTGATCTTAAAGGCGGAGAAGAACTTTTTCCAACAAAAAGCGAAGTGTCAATTCCAAATCAAGGGTGACAAATGCACCGGGTTCTATCATGCCCTTGTCAAACAAAATTCCAAGAAAAATTTTATGGCCTCCATAATGAGAGAAGACGGGAGTATGGCAACATCGCATGACGAGGTGTCTAAGGAGTTTGTTAACCACTTTGGAAAGCTCCTTGGAACCGAGACTCCGACCATGGACATTGATCCCGAGATCGTCCGAAATGGCCCACTTGTATCCCAAGAGCACCATAATTCTCTCCTTGCCCCGATCTCCGAATCCGAAATAAAAAACGCTCTTGACGACATTGAGAGTAGCAAAGCTCCCCAGCCCGGATGGGTACACCTCAACGTTCTTTCGGAAAAGTTGGGACATCGTTGGAAAGGACCTTATTTCGGCCGTGCAAGATTTTTTTAGGAATGGGCGCCTCCTCAAGCAATGGAACCACACTACACTAGTATTGGTTCACAAAACTCCCCATGCAACCCAAGTCTCGGATTTCCGACCGATAGCTTGTTGCAATACCACTTACAAAATTTGCTCGAAAATCATTGCCCAACGCTTGGGGCCCGTCCTCGGCAAAATCATTGATGGAGCCCAAGTCGCCTTTGTGAGTGGTAGGAACATGTCGGACAACATTCACCTCATGCAACAATTACTCCGGCAATATATGCGTAACCGGATCTCCCCGATGTGCACAATCAAGATTGACCTTCGCAAGGCCTTTGACTCTATCTCTTGGACCTTCTTGAGGAAAGTTCTTCATGGACTTGATTCTCCGGAGACTCTTATCGGATGGATCATGGAGTGCGTCACCACGACTTCATACTCCATCTCGATCAACGGCTCGCTTTGTGGCAATTTCAAAGGAGCTAAGGGGTTGAGACAAGGTGATCCGCTCTCGCCTTATCTCTTTGTCATTTGTTTAGAGTATCTCTCGAAGCTTATGAACCGGAGCACGGCTAGCGGATCAGATTTCAACTATCACCCCAAATGTGAGTTTCTTAGAATCACCCACCTAGCCTTTGCGAATGACCTAATGTTTCTCTCGCAGGGGGACCCTAGATCTACCAAATTCTAATGGAATGCTTGAGAGACTTTGAGAATAAATCGGGCTTGGAAATGAATGTTCAAAAGTCCAACATCTACATGGTGGGGGTCGGCCACTTGGAGCATTCAGAGATTCTTCGCGACACTAACCTCCGTCTGGGGTCTATGCCTTTCCGGTACCTCGGTATCCCTCTCACGGCGGAAAGAGTCACAGTTGGACAATTTGATGCGCTCATTAATCAAATTTCAGAGTATATTAATGAGTGGAACGCTTCCTCTCTCTCATATGCAGGGTGTGTGGAGCTCATTAGATCGGTCCTCCAAGGGATTGAATGCTTTTGGATGTCTATCTTCCCTCTTCCGTCGACCGTCCGTACGCTCATCATCCGACGTTGCCAACATTTCCTTTGGGGCTCAAAGATCGCGCTGGTGGCTTGGCATAAAGTCACTCTTCCACGTTCGGAGGGAGGTCTATGCCTTCGGGACCTAAAAGCATGGAACCAAACCTTGTTGGCTTGAACACTTTGGAATATACAAGCTAAGAAAGACACCTTGTGGTATCGTTGGGTTCATCATGTCTATCTTCGGCAAAAGACCGTTTGGGAATGGACTATCCACAAGAGTGATTCGCCCCTTTTCAAAAACCTCTATGATATTCGGAATCTAATGGTTGAAAAGTTGGGTAGTATTCAACCCGCCGAGGCAGCTCTAAGCCTTTGGGAATCCAAATCCCAATCCAAGGGGCCCTCATGCGTCTATGAGTTCTTCCGAGCTAAAGGTACACCCGTCCCTTGAAAGGGAGTCGTTTGGGGGCCCGCCAACACCCCCAAACACACCTTTATCCTTTGGCTAGCAAAGCTCGGGAGGCTCCGTACCAAGGATAGGCTCGACTTCCTTGAACTCGACCCTACTTGTGTCTTTTGTGGGGAAGCTTCCGAGACCATTGATCATCTCTTTTTCACGTGCCCCCCATCGGCTCAAGTTTGGTTTGGCATCCGGCATTGGCTAGGATTGAGGCGGCAACTCTCCACACTTAAGAGTGCATTGAAGTGGATTAAGAAGGATGCCCAAGGCTCCGGTTGGAGAACAAAAGCAAAGAAGGCCGGGCTCGCGTCAACGGTGTACTTTCTTTGGAATGCTCGGAATAGGAAGATATTCGAAAATAAAGTCCAATTACCAGAGCTCATCATACGGAAAATTCAAACTCATGTCTACCGGAATATCTTTGCTTTATACCTGAATGTCCTTGCCGAAGTGGAGAGAAATGCCCTCGGAAATGGCTAGGCTAAAACCCCTTGAGGTACGTAAGATTCAAACCCGTAGTTATCGTACAATATTCGCGGTGTTTGCGAATGTACTTGCCGAGTTTGAGAGGATAGTCGCTTTGATATATGGTCACGATTTGGTTTGAACTGAACAACCGATCTCTGGTTTGCCTCTCATTATTTTGATTAGCCAGTGAGGAACTGAGCATGTGCTTGCCCACTTGGCTTTTTGTTTGTCGTTCGACGGTCGTTGTAACACCATTTTTTATCTATATATTTACCATTTACCGATCCAAAAAAATAAAAAAAAGAATGGTTGAAAGTGTTGTATGAAAGATAATTTAACTAATCATACTCTGATCAAACCCAAACGGAACGCAATACATATCATTAGAAAACCATCCTTATCGCACTAAAGCTAGCAACAACCTTCCTTTAATAAAAATCAATTGTCTGCTTCAAAGCAATCTGCACAAGCTAACTTAGCCACAAATGTACAGGAGAAAAAAGACCCT